ACTTCATCCCTTCCTCTATCTCTCTCACTCTCTCTCTATTTCTCTCTTTCTCTATCTCTCTTTTTCTCACACTCTCTCTCTCTCTTTTTCTTTTTTTTTTCATCTTTTTTTATCCCCATTTCCAAAGAATAATTTAAAAAAAAAAAAACGCGCCATAAATGATAACAACAAATAAATGAATAAATATAAAAACATTCTCGATCGTCGGGAGTCTGCATTTTGATTAAATATAAATCATCTTTTCTGCATCATCCCCCATTTCGTCTGTCGTAAAACAAATTTACTTTAATTTAGGTACTTAACCCTAATCGAGAATAAAAAAAAAGAAAAAAGATAAACAAAAAACAAATATAACGATATTAATTTTTGACGTTGGACGCAAGCCGAAATTAAAATAATAGTCTGGTAAACGCCTTGGGCCTAGACGATGAACGGGATTAAAAAAAAGAAAAAAAAAAAAGAAAGAGAACAAAAATTAATAAACTCGAAATATAATCTCCCTTTTAATCTCAAAATGGACACTCGGTCGAGAGAACGGACGAAATGTCAGCGTAAGGTAAACGTGTTGTTCAAATTCAAAGCCTCTCATTACTGATCATGTTATACACCACGAATCTTTTCGTACTTGTGGCCCCTCCCCGCCCCCCCCCCGTTTTCCGATGATGTAAACACGATAAACGCTCGTTCATTTATATATATATATAAATGTATTTGTAATAATTCTATCTCTGTCTCTTTTGCTTATCTATTATATATCTTCCTCATTATATGCCTCTCATTATTTATTTAAAATCATTTATTCTATAATAACTGTGTTTATATATATATACATCGATTTTTGCACGTCCGCATAGTTGCGGTTGCATTTTATGTATACACATAAGTAAGTATATATACATACAAATGTGTATGCGTATTTAGCTACTTTGAAATGAATGATTACATGTATTGGAATCAAATTCGTGATTGAACTTCCATCTTGTTTATATTTGAACGACGTACATTTGTCGCGTTTACATCGTGCACATGTGAATTTGTTGGCGTGACATTGCACAAGACACGCATTATGGTTTGTTACTTACAATCGCTGCATTTCCTCGATATATACTTTTCACTCTCTTTCTATCTCTTACTTTTTCTGTCTATCTGTCTGTCCGTCCGTCCGTCCGTTCGTTCGTCGATCTACTTCTGACCCTTCCCCAGTCCCCCTTTCTCGAATTTTCTTTTTTTTTCCTTCATTTATAAAGCAACTTTCACGTTGTCTTTTTATCGAGAGAAAACCAAAAATCCAATATCTCATCATTTTTCTTATTTCTACTTCCATTATTATAATGAGAACGCAATAAAAAAAGATTCTAGGAGAAAATCTTCGGAATGTGTATGGTTGCGTTTAAATTACGATTTAAACGTAAAAAAAAAAAATGAACGTTAAAATATAACGTTTATCCATTTCGTCCGCTTCCCCCCCCCCCAAAAACATATCTTATCAAATAACAATGTCATCCGTTTATATTTTAAATATGTCAAATAACTGTTACTTTTTTTTCTTTTTCTTAACGATATACATTAAAATTTTCGTATTAAAATTTATCCAAAAATGTCCAAAAATGATTTATCGAATTTGTACAAATTAAATTCGTATATATATACGTAAAATTTAAAATATATATATACATTATATATTAAGATACACATAAACATACTTATCACACTTCGCTCGTTATCTTCCGAACGAAATTGCAAATCTTTGCATGTCAAAATTTCGATTACTCTTATTTTTTTATTTTTATTAAAACTCTTTCTCTTCTTTTTTTCAACATTCCATATTTCTTCTTCACACCTTTTTACCATCTTTCTCCATTTATCTTCGTCTCTCTGACTATTCCCTCTCTCACATTTTATTTTCTTTCTCTATTTATCTTTGCCTGTCTCTCTCTCTCTCTCTCTCTCTCTCTCTCTCTCTCTCTCTCTTTCTCTCTCTTTTCTTTCTCTCTTCTTTCATTCTCTTTCTTATCTTTATAATCTAGATCTCCCCTCACGTTACATATAAAAAAAAAACAAGCTCACTTCGTAAAACGTACCACGATCCACTATTCGACTTCTATATGCATTCCATACGAACTCGTATATCTAGTTGTATCACTTGCCAAAGAAAATCAATTTTTATTCTATACGTCATCAACACCCCGTACATGCATACCTATATATAGATAGATTTGATATAAACTCGCGAAAGCGCACTACTCTTCTAACTTTTAAATTAATTTTTTTCAATAGTAGAATCGATTAATTAATCTCGTCGAATATATTTGCAATAATTTATAATAATAATAATAATCATATCATTATCATCATCATCGTTGTCATTATTATTATTATTATTATTATTATTATTATTATTAT